GAGTGGAAGTTTACAGATTAAGGGGCGGTAATATTATAATGAGATCCCTTTGCCACCTCACCAAGGGAGCGAAATCAGACCCGCTCGTTTTCTCAGACGCTTGCAGAAAAAGGCTTACCTAAACAAAGTGATTGGGTTAATCTTTTTCACATTTCCTTGGTTGGTAGATGCACCATAGATATGAGATAATTATTTTAAATCAAAGTTGTTGTCATTTTGTTATGAGACAAAACGACAAAAATTGTGCTCAGCATTGGCTCGCTGTTTTTCACATTTCCTTGGTTGGTAGATGCACCGGGGACCTGATTATAGCACTAAAACCTGGAAAAGTCAGATTTTCATGATATGTCGCCTTTAAGGTGCTGTCACACCAATGAACGATATTTTGTTTAGGCTGTTAAAAGAACGCTATGCAGTTTTGTTTGTTGCCGCTTTTTACAATATGTAATATAAGTCTCTGGTGTCCCCAGAAGGTGTCTGTGAAGTTTCAGTTCAAAATACTCCACGGATCATTTATTATATAATTTTGAAAATGCGTATTTTGAGTGGAAGCAGAAAAAAGCAGTTTTTCGGGCCTGTGTCTTTAAATGCAAATGAGCTGCTGCTCCCCGCCCCCTTTTCCAGAATAGAGCTGCGCCATTACAGCTCGGACCTGCTAAAAACATCTGTTTTGGCTCAAGTCAGATTTTCATGATATGTCGCCTTTAAGGTGCTGTCACACCAATGAACGATATTTTGTTTAGGCTGTTAAAAGAACGCTATGCAGTTTTGTCGTTTGCTGCTTTAAATGTTCTAGCTCTTTAAAGTCAGGTGGATTGTGATTGGCTGTTGATGTCTTTAGCGTTCATGACCTGGAAAAAAACATTCTGAAAGTGATTCCAACAATTTTTCATTATCATTATAGTTGTGATGTGGACTGCGCTAGTCTTTATGACTACAGACTAAAATATGAGATGGAAGGAAAATTATTTCAATGCTTTTGCGTTCTCATGCAAAATTTGAGTTCCTCCAAGAAAACACAAAGACATTGTGAGCAAATGCAAAGTTTCTCTGGAAGGTGCAAAGGTTTTGAAAAATGAAAGAAACATTCTCAGGAACTTTGACTGGAATGCAAAACTTTTGCAAAAGAATGCACTGAAAAACATTGAAATATATTTTTCCCTCCCATATTTTGTCCATCATCATTTCCCTTTAGGGAGTTATTTTTATTAAAACGTCATGTTTAAAGTTAGCACTTGGTGTGAACGGCCCTTTAGAAGTGTCTACAAAGCCAAAACATGAGGACTTTATAGTCTGACCAAGTTTCACCAAAACCCAGGGGTCATGATCTCATCTTACGACTGCTTATTTCTATAAGAAAATGAATGCAAGCTAAGAACACAAACGTCAGCCAAAATGTGTATGTTGTGAATGTATAAAAGGATTGGAGACGGTTTTTCACAGAGTTCATAGTTTGGACTGGACCATCTCTATAGGTACAGCATGAGATATTAAACGTGAGAGGCCTCTATTTGGCTACATTTACTGTAAATTAAACAAGAGGAAGGTACGAATGTTTGTTCTGGTCGGGTTGTATCTGATAAAGAGGGAGAAAGTGAGAGTCAGCGAGGCATGAAATCTCCGGCCGGGTTGGGGTAAGGGGCGCAAGTAATCACAAATCATTATTTTTGATTAGTTTCCAGTCATTTTAAAACTAATTTGTACCTTTTTGTAAGAAAATGTGAGTGATCCTTTGACAGTCATAATCCTATGTTCTGGTGTTTGCTTACCAGTTCAAAAGTCATGTGGCTCTTTCAATGCAAGTCTATGGGATTTTTCACCTGGTTTATCGTTCACTAAGTGAATAAGTCAAAAGTCCAATTGGTTAGAAAAATAACAGTCTCTCCTTAAAAAAGTGCATGATTTGAGATATTCATGTGTGTAGCACAAACATTGCGGTTGGTAGCCTTAAATATAAGCAAAAATAATAGCAAACATCTCTAATACTGATTCATCTCTGTGAAGTTTTCTAAATGTTCTGGTTAAAATGAATAAACAGGGTCAAAAAAAAGTATTTTAAAACCACTTAGAAAGTCTTTAAAATAAATTTTCTGACAGGCAGGTCTTCAGGTCATAGCGTCACAGTGGCTGAACAACTGAAGCACAGTTTGTACTGTGGTTGGCAGAGCTTGTGCTGAGGTTAGCAACTCGAGCTTCACGCCAAGTATGTCTTCATAATCACTGTCTTCAAGATGTACCCCGTATAGGAAGGTCACACAGCCGTATTGTGGGTCAGTCTGTGTTCCGAAATATGCTGATAGGTTCTGCAAACCTCTGCTTCCTGTGGAACGACGTGAAGTTTATAACATGTTATGTCACAAATGCATTATGCATCATATCCTTACAAAATT